CCTCATTAACCTTCCCCACCTCATTAATCTTGTTAATCTCATTAACCCCCAACCTCATTAATCTCATTAACCTTTGACCTCATTAATCCTCTGACCTTGTTAACCCCTGACCTCGTTAGCCTCATTAACCTTTGACCTCATTAACCTCATTAACCCTCTGACCTCATTAACCTCATTAACCTTTGACCTCATTAACCTCATTAACCTTTGACCTCATTAACTCCCTGACCTCGTTAACTCCATTCTGGGTCCCACCATAATTAACGAGCATTAACGAGCTCCCCATCCCCCAACAGCCCCAGGAGCTTCGTCAGCCCCTAATGAGCCTTAATGAGCCCCTACTAATTAATGAGCCCTAATGAACCCCCAGTCCCTAATGAGCCTTAATGAGCCCTCATTAATTAATGAGCCCTAATGAACCCCCCAGCCCCTAATGAGCCTTAATGAGCCCCCACTAATTAATGAGCCCTAATGAACCCCCAGTCCCTAATGAGCCTTAATGAACCAACACCAATTAATGAGCTTTAATGAGTCCCCTGTGACCTAATGAACCTCTCCAGCTCCCTAATTAGTCCCCACCAATTAATGAGCCCTAATGACTGCCCTGTGACCTAATGACCCTCCCGAGTCCCTAATGAGCCCTAACGAGCCCTAACGAGCTCCTCCTTCGTTAATGAGCCTTAATGAGTCCCGTGACCTAACCAACCTTAATGAGCCCCCACTAATTAATGAGCCTTAATGAGTGCCCTGTGACCTAATGGATCTCTCCAGGTCCCTAATGAGCCCTAATGAGCCGCCATCAATTAATGAGCTTTAATGAGTGCCCTGGGACCTAATGGATCTCTCCAGGTCCCTAATGAGCCCTAATGAGCCGCCATCAATTAATGAGCTTTAATGAGTCCCTTATGACCTAAAAAACTTCTCCAGCTCCCTAATGAGCCCTAACGAGCCCTAATGAGCTCCTCCTTCATTAATGAGCCTTAATGAGTCCCCTGTGACCTAATGACCCTCCCCAGGTCCCTAATGAGCCCTAACGAGCCCTAACGAGCTCCTCCTTCGTTAATGAGTTTTAATGAGTCCCCTGTGACCTAATGATCCTCCCCATGTCCCTAATGAGCCCTAACGAGCTCCTCCTTTGTTAATGAGCCTTAATGAGTCCCCTGTGAGATAATTAACCTCCCCAGGAGCCCTAACGAGCTCCTCCTTCGTTAATGAGCCCCAGCACCCCCCTCCTCACCTGATGAACCCCAAAATCCGTGTCCCCCATTCCTAACGAGTCCCACCAGGTCATTAATGAGCTCTAATGAGCCTTAATGAGCTCCCACCACCTGATGAACCCCAAAATTAGATCCTTCCTGGTCCTAATGAGCTCTAACGAGCCCCCATTGCCTTAACGAGCTCCCACCACCTCCAGAACCCCAAAATCTGGGTCCCCTCACCTGAAAACCCCCAAAATTTGGGTCCCCACACCTCAAGAACCCCAAAATCCCGATCCTTCACCCAAAATCCCGATCCTTCCTGGTCCTAATGAGCCCTAACGAGCTCTCATCACCTGATGAACCCCAAAATCTGAATCCTCTCACCTCAAGAACCCCAAAATCTGGGTCCACTCTCCTGAAAACCCCCAAAATTTGGGTTCCCACACCTCCAGAACCCCAAAATCCCGATCCTGAACACCTCAGGGACCCCAAAATTTGGGTCCCCTCACCTGAAAAACCCCAAAATCCCGATCCTTCCTGACCTTAATGAGCTCCCTCCACCTGATGAACCCCAAAATTTGGGTTCCCACACCTGATGAACCCCAAAATCCTCCACCTCCATCCCCCAAAATCCATCTCCATTCCCCCAAATCTCCATCTCCCCAAATCCTCCATCTCCATCCCCCCAAATCCATCTCCATCCCCCAAAATTTGGGTCCCCTCACCTCCATCCCCCAAAATCCTCCATCTCGGCCCCCAAAATCCTCCACCTCCTTCACCCCAAATCCATCTCCACCGCCAAAATCTCCATCCCCTAAAATCTATCTCCATCCCCCAAAATCCTCCAAAATCCTTCACCTCCATCCTCCCAAATCCATCTCCATCCCCCAAAATTTGGGTCCACTCACCTCCATCCCCCAAAATCCTCCATCTCCACCCCCCAAAATCCATCTCCACCCCCAAAATCCTCTATCTCCATGCCCCAAAATCCATCTCCATCCCCCAAAATCCACCGTTTTCCCCTAAAATCCTCCATCTCTACCCCCCAAAATCCATCCCCCCAAATCCTCCTTCACCCCAAAATCCTCCATCTCCACCCCCGAAATCTCCATCCCGTGCCCCTCCCCATGTCCCTGCGCCCCTCCCCCTACGTGGCCACTGACTTGCCGCTGTCCAGTGCCCGTCCGGCCGCGCTGGCCCCGTGTCCACCCCCTCCTCCGGCAGCTCCAGACCGTGGCCGGGGGCGGCCGTAGAGCACCACTGCGGCCAGCACCATGGCCGTGCCGGCCACGAAGGGCGCCCGCGGCCGGAATCCGAACAGATGCGCCGAGGCGGCGGTGGAGGCCAGGATGGACAGCGCCGTGGCGAATCCCTTCAGGATGTTATCGGCGTAACGCACCACCACGGCCACCAGCAGCCCTCCGGCCGCCTGGTTCACCACCACGGCCCAGACAGCGCCGTTGTAGCCGTAGAAGAAGCCGAGCGCGGCCACCGCCGGCCCCTCTGCGGCCAGCATGGCCCCCAGCCCCACGGCCGTGCCCACGGCGCCCAGCTGCACGTTGCGCAGCCAAATGGAGCCGCCCGAGCGCTTGAGGAGCCGCTCGAAGTAAACGCCGGCGAAGCCCGAGGACAAACACGAGGCCGCCACGGCCGCCAGCCCCACGGCGTAGCTCTGAGGGGGACCCTCGGGGACATCGGGGGACGGGGACAGAGGGGACACGGCCGGAGAGGAGCGAGCCTGCTCCGCCTGGACCAGAGCCACCCCCGCGAACAGCAGAGCAAGGGACAGCCACTGCAGGCGGGACAGCGATGTCCCCAACAGCAGAACCGAGAACAGAGCCGTGGTGAGGATCTTCAGCTGATATGTGACCTGTGGGGACAGGAAAAGGTGACATTAGGGACATTGGGGACACAGGGACAGCCACTGCAGGCGGGACAGCGATGTCCCCAGGAGGAGAACGGAGAAAAGAGCCGTGGTGAGGATCTTCAGCTGGTACGTGACCTGTGGGGACAGGAAAAGGTGACATTAGGGACACAGGGACACAGGGACACAGGGACAGCCACTGCAGGCGGGACAGCGATGTCCCCAACAGCAGAACCGAGAACAGCGCCGTGGTGAGGATCTTCAGCTGGTACGTCACCTGTGGGGACAATGGGGACACAGTTAAAGGGACATTGGGGACACAGGGACAGCCACTGCAGGCGGGACAGCGATGTCCCCAACAGCAGAACCGAGAACAGAGCCGTGGTGAGGATCTTCAGCTGGTACGTCACCTGTGGGGACAGGAAACGGTGACATTGGGGACACAGGGACACAGGGACAGCCACTGCAGGCGGGACAGCGATGTCCCCAGGAGCAGAACGGAGAACAGCGCCGTGGTGAGGATCTTCAGCTGGTATGTGACCTGTGGGGACAGTGACAGTGACATTAGGGACATTGGGGACATTGGGGACACAGGGACAGGGCCGTGGTGAGGATCTTCAGCTGGCAGGTGACCTGTGGGGACAATGGGGACAGGGTGACACTGGGGACATTGGGATGGGGACAGAGCTGTGGTGAGGATCTTCAGCTGGCAGGTGACCTGTGGGGACAATGGGGACAGGGTGACATTGGGGACAGTGGTGACATTGGGGACATCAGGGACATTGGGGACAGGGATAGGATGACATCAGGGACACAGAGGGGACACAGAGCGATGGGGACAAGGCCACCAGCCCAGGGACGCTGGCACAGTGTCACTGTCACCTGTAGGGACATCAAGGACACCGTCACTGTCACAGGGCCACCACCACCACCAATGTCCCCAATATCCCAAATTTTTCACAATTTTCCCCTATTTTCCCCAATGTCCCAAACACCCCCAATGTCCCCACTGTCCCCAATCCCCCCAATTTTTCCCAATTTTCTTCAATTTTCCCCAATTCTTCCCAATTTGTTTCTGTTTGCTTCCCAATTTTCCCATTTTTTCCTAATTTTCCCCAATGTCCCAACCCCCCCACTGTCCCCAATATCCCAAATTTTTCCCAATTTTCTTCAACTTTCCTCAATTTATCCCATTTTTTTCATTTTTTCCTAGTGTCCCCACCCCTCCCACTGTCCCCACTGTCCCCTCAATGTCCCCAATCCCCCCAATTTTCTTCTATTTGTTCTCCATTTTTTTTCCATTTTTTCCCCAATTTTTTCCATTTTCCCCCAATTTTTTCCATATTTTCCCCAATTTTTTCCATTTTTTCCCCAATTTCCTCACCCCCTTGCTGTTCCCACTGTCCCCAATCCCCCAATGTCCCCAATTTTCCCCGTTTTTTTCCATTTTTCACCCAATTTTCCCCAATTTTTTCCATTTTTTTCCCCATTTCTTTTCTATTGTCCCCAATTTTCCCCATTTTTTCCCTTTTTTTTCCATTTTTCCCACTTTTTCCCCATTTTTCTCAATCCCCCCGCTGTCCCCATTGTCCCCAATCCCACAATTTTCCCCATTTTTTTCCTACTTTTTCCTCATTTTTTTTCCCATTTTTCCCCAATTTTTCCATTTTTTTCCTGTTTTTTCCATTTTTTCCCCAATTTTTCCCCAATTTTTTCCATTTTCCCATTTTCCCGCTGTCCCCCGCTGTCCCCGTTGTCCCCACCTGGAAGGTGGCCGCGGGCAGGTTGGAGATGGCCACGTACTGCAGATTGTTCTGGA